GAACCTAACCTAATTACCTAAGCGTTCAAACTAACGGCCGCCGGAGCTGCCGCCGAGGAACGCCGAGCGACGCTGGGGGCGCCAGCGGGGATACTTTTCTTCTTCGGTCGCGGCCGCGAGACGACTGTCAGGCGGCTAGAGCAAAGTCCGGGAAGCGAACTAGCGAAATAAGACAGGCGCAGGCCGGCCGGCCCACTCAGACAGCAGCTGCGGGCTGAGGGAAGTGAAGCTGGACTGAACGGCGCTCTGCAAGCTCGGGCACGTGCACAAGACAAAATGTCACGGAATTCAAGCAGCCATGGCACAACCCGCAAAGAGGGGGCGCGGACCACGATGGGCAAGTCCTTCGTGCTGGGCGATGACAAGGGGGCCATTGGAGTGAGTCGCCAATGTGGCGCCAGGCTCCGAGCGGACGACCTGAGCTAGCCAGGCAGGCTGGGCAATCGTGAGCCGTGGTGCAACGCAACTGGGGAGGCTGAAGGTGGGCCTGTAGGACTGCACCTGCTGCGGAAGGCTGAACCACTCTGCACCATGGCCAGCCCCAGTCAGAGCACGTCACAGCGCAAGGGGGCAACCGAGCGACTGTGAGCCACGCAGCGCGCGCCGGCAAGGCAAGGCCACTGAGTGGGGGGGAAACCCGCTGGCGTGGTGAGCATCGCCAGTGAGGAAAGAAAGATGGAGTGCACTGGAAGTGGCGGTGCCGTGACGGCGAACCGGACCAGAGCCGGTGGGTCCCCAAGAGAACAGGTGAGCTGTACCTCACGGGGCACGTGGCGCCAGTGCGGGCGGGGCGCGCTGTTGTCTCAGGGCGGTGCGCCTGGGGGGGGGGGCTGCGCAGTGGAAGACACGAGGGCCGTCGGACGCAAAGTCAGGCCAAGCCCGCCGCTGGCACTTCCACCCAGGCCCCCCCAGAACGTCAACGAACACCACGTGATCCTCCAGAGTCGCAGCTGACCGCCGCTGGAAGTGAAAAGACAATCCACGCGCAGCGAGGGGCGCGGGCGGCCCAGGGAGGGGGGGGCAACAGCACCAACGTCGGACAGTACGTCGGTGGGCCCCGGGGCCAAGAGCGGGGGACACCCGCCTGGCCCCCGAGGAGAGAGGCGGGGGGAACGCCGCCCCTCTCATCGGCCTGGCCCCAGCCCCCGTGGGATAGGGGAAGTGTCCACAATATCATCGTTGGCATCCGCAATATTATTGCTACTTGCATTATTCGTATTAACGGTAGTATTCATGAAATTACGACCAGCAGTACTAAACTTCTTAGTAGCACAATGATGTTTATTACTAGTTATCTTAAATATTAAAAGCATGCGTGGTATTAATTTTTGAGGGAGTTTCTGTGGAACTACGGTCATCCTCACCCCCGGCGCGGGGAGCACAGGGGCCCAGAGCGGCCTCCGGCACCGTTTCCGGACAGATCCGGTGGATCCGGTGGATCCGGTGGATCCGCCGACGAATCCCAAACCGGCGCCCTCGCTTGAGACATCCTCACAAAACCGGCCCCGGGGGAGGTGCCCAGAGGATCCCAGAGCGGCCTCCGGCACCGTTTCCGGACAGATCCGGTGGATCCGGTGGATTCGGTGGATCCGCGACGAATCCCAACCGGGCTGCCCCGCATTGGAATCTCACAAAAAACGGCCCAGGGAGGAGGTGCCCAGAGGAGCCCAGAGCGGCCCTCCGGTAACCGTTTCCGGACAGATCCGGTGGAGGATCCGGTGGATCCGCGACAAATCCCAACCGGCGCCCTCGCTTGAGACATCATCACAAAAACCGGCCCCGGTTCCAGCGGAAGTGCACAGAGAGCCGGAGGAGCCCAGAGCGGCCTTCCGGACGGGTTTCGGGGACAGATCCGGTGGATCGGTGGATCCGCTGGATCCGGTGACGAATCCCAAACCGGCGCCCTCGCTTGAGACATCCTCACAAAACCGGCCCCGGGGGAGTTGCCCAGAGGAGCCCAGAGCGGCCTCCGGCACCGTTTCCGGACAGATCCGGTGGATCCGGTGGATCCGCCGACGAATCCCAAACCGGCGCCCTCGCTTGAGACATCCTCACAAAAACCGGCCCCGGGGGAGGTGCCCAGAGGAGCCCAGAGCGGCCTCCGGCACCGTTTCCGGACAGATCCGGTGGATCCGGTGGATTCGGTGGATCCGCCGACGAATCCCAAACCGGCGCCCTCGCTTGAGACATCCTCACAAAATCGGCCCCGGGGGAGGTGCCCAGAGGAGCCCAGAGCGGCCTCCGGCACCGTTTCCGGACAGATCCGCTGGATCCGGTGGATCCGGTGGATCCGCCGACGAATCCCAAACCGGCGCCCTCGCTGAGACATCCTCACAAAACCGGCCCCGGGGGAGGTGCCCAGAGGAGCCCAGAGCGGCCTCCGGCTCGGTTTCCGGACAGATCCGGTGGATCCGGTGGATCCGCCGACGAATCCCAAACCGGCGCCCTCGCTTGAGACATCCTCACAAAACCGGCCCCGGGGGAGGTGCCCAGAGAAGCCCAGAGCGGCCTCCGGCACCGTTTCCGGACAGATCCGCTGGATCCGGTGGATCCGCCGACGAATCCCAAACCGGCGCCCTCGCTTGAGACCTCCTCACAAAACCGGCCCCGGGGGAGGTGCCCAGAGGAGCCCAGAGCGGCCTCCGGCACCGTTTCCGGACAGATCCGCTGGATCCGGTGGATCCGGTGGATCCGCTGACGAATCCCAAACCGGCGCCCTCGCTTGAGACATCCTCACAAAACCGGCCCTGGGGGAGGTGCCCAGCCCAGAGCGGCCTCCGGCACCGTTTCCAGACAGATCCGGTGGATCCGGTGGATCCGCCGACGAATCCCAAACCAGCGCCCTCGCTTGAGACATCCTCACAAAACCGGCCCCGGGGGAGGTGCCCAGAGGAGCCCAGAGCGGCCTCCAGCACCGTTTCCGGACAGATCCGGTGGATCCGCTGGATCCG